ACGAGCGACGACACTGCGGTGGTTGATTCCCAAACGTATCCCTCAAAAAGTAGCGGATGATTGGAGGGTTTCTGAAATTGTGTCAAAGACCACCAGAAATAGACAAACATAAACGGCATATTTTGTAGATGTATCTAGACGTTTAAAGGAACACCTATTGAGATGGAATGTGTTTACCTCGGCTGTTGCTGGGGACCATGCAATCTTCTACCGTGGTCGTGCATTTTTTGTGCGAAGCTTCCATGGTGGTAGGAACCTTTGTTTATGAGCTGTCTTTTTGAATTGTAAATTCTGTGAGTGGAGTTAGAAGGAGAAGGCGATCTACCTTTGTTTAGGGTTTGTCTGTTGGTTCGTGGAGCAAACTTCAGCGGCGGATAAGAGTCTACTTCTGGAAATAGAATCTCTTTTTGTAGGGTAGTGCAGGGTCGACAACGTTAGTCAACGTTGTGAAATTGGGCCAAACCATTTATGTGGGCCGATATTTAAATTTGGCAGGGGAGGTGCAGTTTCATTTGTGGCCCAAAATTGTTGTCTTGCAAAACGTTAAGGAGTCTGTCGTTTGGTGAAAACAATTTATTTGTATGTTCTTTTAAAAGTTAGATCAAAGGAGCATGATAAAATATTCTATTGTGTCATTCTGCAAGAACAGGAAGAACATGAAGAACCTGCCCAGAATTCAAAACGCAAACAATGTCTCCTGCTAGTTTTTTTGGTAGATACAATATTAAGGGCGGAAAGTAGTTTCTCCATGTGCCCAATCAGGGACTTCATGATCAAAACAAAACATTCACCTCTCTAAACTATTGAGGTACAAACATCAGGGACTTCCATATGGACCGAAAAAAATAACCAGCGGCCAGTCAATTGTCGAAATGAGTACATCGGTGAATTTAGAAGATACCAGAGTAGTTAGGGGAAAACAATAAGTTTTTTTGACAGAAAACAGAGCAACATGTCCTGAATAGATAACATACATAATTATAAATAAGCCGTCCCGACAAACTAAGTTCCAAGTAGAACAGTTTTCAATCACACGAAAGCATTAGGGTTCCAGATTGAAGCAATTCGGATTGTAGGAGGATTTTCTGAAGTCCCAGGAGCAACATAAGCTTCAGCCATAAAAGGCACATAACACCTGTCTTGAATGTACTGATATCCTTCTTCATAGGTTAGACTGAAAAGTTCCTCGGGTGAAACCCAAACCAAGCCCAACACAGCTTCATGATCAAACACAACATCAACATATTCTCCCTCACACTCACATGTTGCTTGTAATTCATATCGTACCCTGAATTAAACAATAAAAGGAACGTTTTGATCTTCCTGAAATGCAATGGACAACAGATTATTAGCAAAACATAAAATTGAATCATACCTTGGAAAACCTGAACATGATTTAAAGACTTCTGGACCGTATGTAGATCTTGTCATTTCCAGCATACAACGATAGAGAGTCTGAAGGAAGGAATTTGTGTTATAATAGGTAAAAGATATGACTATATATTTGGGATATGTGTTATCCAATACAATCAAAACAACAAAAATCATACATATACCTGGTAGGCCTGTGCATGGAACATTATATCATCATTTAGCTGCTTGAGGGTTCTTTTGGGAGGAAGAAGACCACGAAGATAACCAATAGAGCAGCGAGAAGTACTATTGATGTAAGTCACTGGCATTCGATCACCTATGAACCTAAACAACAAAAAGAATGTAAGTATTGTTTTTCTAGCATCCAACAGAGCAGGTCTGTCAATATATAAACATAGAATTCGAATATAATAATACCTATTCATGATTTTCTCATAATGGTGATTGTAAGAAGCAATGATCAGACGACTTCCAGGTGAAGATTGAAATACATATGCATCTCCAGTGGCATCTTTAATTGGCAACCTTGTAACAACAGTAATTGTGGTAATGAGAGGAAGTCGAGCTTCAGATTCCCCTGCAAACTCCAAATACTTTGTAACTTCAGTTCCAGAGTAGTACATTGTCGCCCTGTCTCCTCTATACAAAATAGCAAAAGATCAGTTAATCCCACATAAAGTCTAACAAACAAAAATCAGCACAAGAATACGCAAGAAACCTGCTGTCTTCTATGATGAGCTCAAACCTAAGAACACCAATATTTGAAAATTCTGGAATTGTCAGATGAACAACACAACCTGTAACATCTGCAATTCAATTCATAGTAAGCAAATAATCATGAATACTTTTTGTGAAAACAACTTTCGAGGAAGATACCTCCATAATTCACAACTGCCTCTGCCTCTATTGGAACAGTCGAGAACGAAGTTTTCAGAAAAGCATTGACAGGAAACTTGGGATAACCCGGATTGTCAGGCACACAAAATATGATCTGTTCACGCCTTAAGGCAAAGCGAACTTCAGCGGGAACAACACGCCTGTTTTCCCTCGCAGGAATAACATGAAAGCCATCCAGGACATGTAAATCTCCTACTTTCAACTTATGTTGCATTTCTTGAATGTCATCTTCCTCAATACAGGCCTCTAGCATATGTTCCTGTTAAATGTGATTTAGTGCATTACTACAATAAAATCAAACATAAACAATAAATATTACATTATATAGACGAATGACAAACCTCTTTGTCAAGACACAACACATGCATTGTTCTTTTATGCCCCTGAGAGTCATCACCATGCTCAATCCATACATTAAGAACTCGGATGATCATAATATCAGTATAAGCACCAACACGTAGACCACGAAACACCATGCATGTGGAAATTGGGTCTGTGGCAAACAAAAGACAAAGAAAAACCCCAAAACTTCACACCTCGGCAGTGTTCATTCATAAACCAATAAATAGAAACTTGAAATAGAAAGCAACGGAGCCGATACCTCGTGGAAGAGTTGGGAGTTTGAAATCACGCGGCATTATACAACGATGCCTGATATGGAAAGATAATGGAAGATCAAAAATTTGTTAAAGTGTTAAGAAACAGAAATAGAATGCAAAAGGGAAAACTATCGGCGATCATACCCCATGAATACACGACTATCCCTGATCTGGAAGTCGCGAAGCACTGTAGTTCCTGGGAAAAGAAGTTCAAAGAACAGGGGAAGTTAAAAGGCAGAATCAGAACCGAAATGAAAAGGCGGTGGAAATTGGTCCCTAAAACGTTTTCGCACCACCATTATAAAATCATAAATTTAATATTCAATGGGCTATCAATTGTTCCCCTAATGGACCGAACAATTATAGAATGGGCTTCCCAAAAGCTATAGAAACTTTATATAAGCACAAAGGCATCTCCTATTCGGGCTAAATATGAGAATACTGAGCCCAATTCATATATCTACTTATATATCGTAAAAGAGGGCCCATTATTTATATTTATCTATACGCACCCGGGCTTGAAGCAAATTGAGAAAACACAAATGTTTCATTCGAGAACACTTTAATCATGTAACCGCAGTTTGTTATTGTTTATTCATTTTTAACATTGTCAATGGTCCAGGTGATACCACACAATTAAACTAAAGTTTGCTCTCGCTGTATATTTAGAACATGGGTTGTACTTGGTTCCTCATTTATGGCTATGTTCAACGTAGGCAAAAACATCATACAATCCTCAAATTTGGTGCTGCTAGGGTCAGTTTGTTCTGATATTTAGATGACTATCCACAAACATCTATGTTAGGCAACAGATTGGAACATGTCAAATTTCAAATTAAAGCAGTGACTTCCACCTGCAATTTCTGGTTAAAATAAACAGCAACCATCAACTGGTTGCTCCTCTTTTCTTGCCTACATTCTAAAACCGTTGTAACCCATAATCGGATAGAAACCTTGGCTATTGATCCATGAACAACACTGGAAAAACTCAACACGCAAGCTACTCAATAGTGCACCTCTTGTATGCGAGAAAAGACAGGCAGAGAAAGAGGAGGAAAGTATCGGCCCTCCGTGGGCAACGCGCTCAGCTTCGCAAAGCACCACGCAGAAAATTCGGCCCAAACTTAAAAAAGCCGGAGAAAAAATCGCCGGCCCAACCCCAACACACTGAGAAAACCACGATAGGAACTGGAGCCACTTCTCTCCTCTGAGTCCTCTCTCATCTCGAGACCACCACCAAGAACTGACCTTCCATTTCTTTCTCAAGGAGGGTCGAGTCAAATCCCTGTCTCCTCTGAGTCCTCTCTCGTCTCGAGACCACCACCAATAACTGACCTTCCATTTCTTCCTCAAGGAAGGTCGAGTCAAATCCCTGTCTCGTACCAGAAGCCCAGAGAGAGAAGAAGGTATGCGAGAAAAGACAGCCAGAGAAAGAGGAGGAAAGCATCGGCCCTCCGCGGGCAACGTGCTCAGCTTCGCAAAGCACCACGCAAAAAATCCGGCCCAAACTCAAAAAAACCGGAGAAAAAATCGCCGGCCCAACCCCAACACACTGAGAAAACCAGCGGGGCCACGCACAGGAAAGCAACCAATCAGGGGAGGCCAAACAGTAAATTTAGGTCTAAATGAATAGTATCTTCAGTCTATGTGTACAGTAGGTGCCGGTCTTTGGAAATAATTCTCTTTAATGGCCTGGGTATACAAAGAGGAGCAGAGAGATTCCATGAAAACACCACAAAAGCAAAGATTAACTATCAGAAGGAAGATGAGAGAATTTCAGGAGCGGACCACTTACATTGATTCTCAAATACAAAGACCACTGGCGAAGTCCCACTTCCCTTTCAATGGGAGCAAACCAGAACTCTGCATAGTGGGATAATAGAAAGTGAAACAAAACGAAAGAAATGGAACTCATTAGGCTCCTTGTAACCTTGGGACTTCCGTTAGCCACACCATCACCAACGAAACCCATTTAAGCGCAATCAAGCAAAACCCATCGAGGTGTGCAAACTTCATACCAATCAAGATCGATACGAAATAAGAGAGCTTGAAAGAAGAAACAGTAAGAAGGGGAGATAGACCAATTCATGAAACGGAGAATAGGTGAACAATTTTGTGAACCCAAAATAGAACCTACAAATCTAGTTATTCTCAAGACCACAGTTAGAGCTCCCATCTAAGTGAATCAAAACTGAAAAACCAAAGAAAGAAAAAAGAAGGACCAAGAGTTTATTGTTTGGTTCCAGGGTATTAACATATATCCATGAATGTGCCGAAAACCTCTGACATAAGCCATTTCTTATTTTCCACTCCACTTGAGAATCTGGATCACATCCAACCCCTTGCTTAAAACTTAAACCCGATTCTCTCGCCATCAACTGCCATATCTGATTATTCAAAACAAACAAAAACTGTCAGACCTGGGAAAGGAATCAAATGAACCCTTTGAGAGAGAAAGAACCCATTTAAAAACAGGTTGAAAACAAAATCATCATAAAAGGAAAAAACAACAGGGAACAAAACGATTGAGGCCACTGATGAGGAAAAAAACGAAACAAAATTCTAGAGATCAAGAGCTCACCAAAAGATCCCATGATTTCCTCGACTTCAACTGATCTCCGCCCGAACCGTCCTCGCCCGAACCGACCGAATCGCCTGCCTCAAATCTCCGTTCAGCCCCGGCCGATCGTCGCAGCACACGCTCAATCTCATCATCTTCTTCTTCCCATCTCCGCCGCCGCAATAGCTCACCGACGTCCCGTCCGATTCCCTCGGGATCAAACACCACGGTTCAGCTCCGTTCAGCCCTGTTTGCTTCCTCAGCTGCCTCAAGCGGTCCACCGCCTCTGCCATCGCGTCAATCAATTGGAATTAGCTGGTTTAGAGTGCAAAAAGTTTCGTCAAAGAAGAAGAAGAAGAAGTGCAACTGATTAATTGATTAACCTTGACGCGCTCGGGGAGGAGAGAGCGGAGGGTGGAGAGGCGGGCGTTGATACGGTGGCGGGTTCTGGGAGATTTCCCAATCGCTCGCAACCACAATCTGAAAGCTCACCGGATTTGTGCTTCCTCCGATTCCTCTCTCGGCTTCTCCTTCTCCAGTCGATCGCTCCAAGCTTCTGAGGGGCTGTGAGGAAAAAAACAGAGAGAAGAGAGTGGAGAGAGGAAAATACTGTGAAACTAAATGCACTGGTGGGTTATATTCTATCTTTCCTCTAACCAATGCGTTGCTTTCTCCCAAGAATAAGCAGGCCCAACAGTAACGTGCGTCAGTTGGCGGTCCACTCACGGAGAGAAACGTAAGGAAGGGGAATGATACTTTCACAAAGAGATAAGAACGGTGTAATAAAGAAGGCTTCAGAGGGAATGGCTGAGAGAAGTAGAGAAAGAAAAACAATAAAACAAAAGGGCAAGGGAAAATGAGCGTGCAGCTGAGGGCAACGCGGCACACACAGCAACAACGGTGGGACCCAGACGCAGGCAGCCAACCAATCAGAAAACGCAGGCGGGCCCAATCGCAGAGCTTGGACCAATGGGGGAACGGTGAACAGTAAAATTGAGTCTAAATGAATAGTAATTTCGTGTCTAGGCATACAGTAGATCACGTCTTTGCAAATAACTTTTTTCAAAGTGCATGATTTTGGAGCTGAAAATTAACAAAAATTCAAAAGATAAAGGCGCTCCAGATTGCACACAAATCGCTCGTTGAGAAACAGAGCAATGCAAACAACCCACGCGGCCACGCCCAAGGAGATGGATACCCAATCAAGCAATCAGATCTTTCCCAAAAAAAAAACCCTAACGACAAAGCATCCATAATGAAGCTTTACTGAATCCAGACTCGTCGCCGCGCAAGAGGAACAAGGATTATTGGGATGAAAAGATTGGTCGCAAGGAGCTGATAAACCCACAAATTACAAATACATGCATAACTCAATCGCATGCCCAATCGAGCAATGAAACCCATGTCCTCTCTTCCTTCTATGGCATCCGACTTTCCCTTCCATCAGGTAGGGTATCGCCATCGAATGGGGTATCTCGTCGCTGCAGATCGACTGCTTGGGAAAGAGAGGATATAGAAGAGACAGAAGATTTGTTCGCCTGAGTTTACGAGGGAGAGAGAGAGGAAAGAGAAAAGAAGATTTGTTCTACAGAGAGTTGGAGAGAGAAAAAGGAAGGTTAAAGTTGGAAAATGGAGAAGGGAGAACGCGTCTTTTCCAATAACCTGCCCCCAACCAGGTAATGTAAGAGGCCTCCGCACCTTCTCTGGTACTAGAATGGGATCCCTGTCACGAAAGGAAAAACTAATATGACTAATAGCACACAATTTGAGACTAAAGCACCAAGAATCCCGGAAAAGTCCACCTTTTATAGTTTTTTCTATTTACTTACTCTTTGAGAACTGGCTGTGCTTTGATTATCCTCATATGGGCTTCTTCCCTCTCCTTCCCCAGTCTTTCCTCCAAATCCTTATGCATTTCTTTTTCATGTCTCACAAGACTCTCCAACTGAAATGGTTCAGGTCTTGTGCATGGCTTGGGGTTTGGTTTTGGTGGAACCTGCAAAATAAAATGCAACTGCGAAATCATATGCTGGCATAAATTAAAAAAATGTCTTCCTGCATACTTTAAAGGGAGTAACAGCAATCAATATATTGACAGAAGGATTATATCAATTACCACTGGATAATCGGTTGTGTAAGGATATGGGGTTGCCTTAGTGACCCTAGCAAGTTCGTTCTCCATTTGCTTCCTCACGAGTTCCATGGCAAGCCTCCTTTCTTTTTCTGCCCCTCTTTCCTGAGGAAAAAATGGTTGCCCATATGGCCACGAGATTCATTATCTTGGTGAGTTAATGTCTCAGAATGTTGTGTCCCTTCACCATGAAAAGTTTGACCATACCTCTGTGTGCAAATGAAACGGGTTCGGTGCTGTGTTTTTATGAAACAGATGATTGTCTTGAGATTCGGAGTTCAAGGAAAGCTGCAAAGGAATTCATTGATGAGTCACACTTTATGGTATCAACAAGGTATAAAAGAAGTCAAGAACTACACAAGAAACCTCCTACCTTATCAAATATATCAGCAACAGTGAGAGGTGGAATTCTCTCATCTATGGCAAGGTGGAATTCCTGACGTACAGTGACCTGCTTCTTGGTATTACATAAGATCCCCAGTTCTCCTTTACATTCATTCCTGACGTACAGTGACCTGCTTCTTGGTATTACATAAGATCCCCAGTTCTCCTTTACTTTCAAATATCTATACAAGCACAGTTAATCAACTTAGACAAAAATGTCACATCGTTCATAAAGTTATCGCTGATAAGACAATAGAGACCATACCTTTTTGTTCAAAGGCTTTGCCTTGAACTTGGGCATCTTCTCGAGAGCCTCTTTCTCAAGTTCAAGAGAACCTTTCACCTTTGTTGGATGAGCCATCAAGGAGGTCTGAAGTAGTGGAGCTTTAGGTTCGGTGAAATGCGGCTTCCATTCATTATTCTGCATTAATTGTGAAAGATATTGTGAGAAAGAGAGTAATTACATTTGAACCAAGTTTCTTTGGGGGATAATTGACAACATCAATCTGGACTGGAGTGGTGTTCCTACGTACGTACCTAACGAGGAACTTCTGTTGAGGCTACTGTCGCTGATTCTGCATTGTGGGTAGCCCTTACTGCTGTCTCAAGATCTAACTCCTGGTAGAGTGAAGGAAGCACTAAGTTGAGCACCTTAACCAAGGGTGTGGAAACAACGGGTGAAAAGGAACCATTATGGTAGGGGGACTTGCCTGAAACTCAGGGATCCGTGGTGTACTTCTCGGTATTATTGGTAGAGTTGGAGCTTCCGGAATCTGTTGACAGAATCCAGAGCATGAAGAAATGATACAAAAAGAATACAGTTGTACGACACGGGGCAGACTACTATTATTACCTTCTTGTTTACGGGTCTAGCTTTAAACTTTGGAATTTTGGCCAACATCTCTTCTTCAAGATCCGCGCTACTCTTTACTCTGACTGGATGGACCCTCTGAGCAGTTTCAAAAGCCGGCTCCTTGGGCCTTGTAAGTGTGAGCTTAGGTTTCCCCTTATTGGCAGAAGCACAATCGTCAACCAATAACTAAAATGATTTGACTGAGATCAAAAGAATTATAACAGGACAAGCTTAGTTATAGACTGTTACCTGCGGGATAGGAGGTAAGGACAAGTCGTTAGTACTGGTTTGGAACTTCTTCATCATTTCTGCCGTTGAGACAAAAGGAGCTTGTACAGGTGTTTCCCGAACGTAAACCTCAAAAGGACAAATAAATACAGTTCAACATCACTTCGCTAAAACTGGAGCTGGCCTGAGATTTCAGGGCTACGTTTTTTTTTTTTTTCTCTTACCTTTCTTTGATCTTTCTGGGTATTGTTAGCTACACAGCTTGCATTGCTAGTTGAAAGACCCAGCTTGGACTTGTGTGGTAATGGACGTGGGTGTCTAACATTAAGAATTTGAAATTTCCATCAATGGACAAACGGTTAGTTAGATATAGCTTGCGTGAAAGTTGTACTTGAAAAGGGGTAATGTTAGCATAAGCAACAGTCACCTGTATGGATTTCCCATCTCCAAGCTTCTGCCGCTTTATGACCTGGTTCTCATGTGCTAAGGCGAAAGCTCTAGTAGGATTGTTTATATTGTTACCTCCTCTGTAAAGGAATCCATCCAACGCACCTCATAATTAAAATATTGACTCAGAAGCTAGAAACTTAAGGATGGAACGATAACATAAATATGCCCACTGACTTTTTCACACTGGGCGACAGTTTGACACCTTTGACCTGGGAGGATTGTGCTTGATTCTTGGATTTTAGCACTGATGGATTCTTAATCAAACTAGCATTGTGTCTGGATGATTGATGCTTCTTGGAGTCTGTCAATGCACCGTCTTTATGTGAATGTAATGATGGCTGAGGCGTGCTGCACGCCTCAGTTTTGGTTTGTTCTGTAACTTCAGCAGATTCAACTTTCGTGGAAGTAATTCTGTTTCAAACAACAAAAATAAACACATTTGAACGTAATACCCCATTAGAAATCAAAGCAGTAATTCTGTTTCAAGCATTCTATTCAAAATTTGGCAGTGACATGGCGCGTTGATTAACGGTCAACGCGTTTGACCATCAAAGTTAACGGTCAAAAATCGGATCTGGCCAAATTATTTATTTTGGTGTATAGTTCGAGTCAGGATGTTATAGATCGAAAAGATTGGCCAGGATGTTTATTTTGGTCAAAGTTCAGGCCATACGAAAATATTAACCCTTTATTTTTTTATTTTTTATTTTTTTTAAATATGTGTCCAAAAATCTACTTCCACAGACACATCAGTGATGACTTGGTCATCTGTTAAAAACTAACAGTCAACATTAATGAAAAATAGTTTGGGACATGAATGAAATATTGAATAAAATAGGACATAAAGACACTTTTATGATAGTTTGGGTGTTGTAGACTTGTAGTGGTATTAGTCCAAAATTAACCAATTAATAGTGTAATGTGTACATTCACAAAGTACGTTTATCAACGACAAGTTTTGCGAGCTGGACTATTCAACTTCATTGGTCATATTATTTACACCCAAAATTTATCTTGTATCACATTGGTGAGCTAAGAGGTAATTAAGGGTTTTCTAAGGCAACATTAATTAAATCAATTAATGTTATTTAAGTTGGGCTTTATGGATATTGATTTTAAGCCCAAGCCACCAAGTAATTGTGAGCATGGACATGATTCAATGAGTGACATGGGCCTCTCATAGGAGGCCATGCCACGAGGTTGTATAAAAATATTCTAAGTTTGAGAAAGTCATGCTGCCTCACGAGAAGGGCCATGTGCATGATTAAGAGGTCCGTGGCCATGTCATGTGATGGCCATCGATGCGAGACAAGAGGCCCTAGGTATGATTGAAAATGCTAAGTATTAGAAGGTCCTGCCGTGTCACGGGAAGGGCCACAAACAAGATTGAGAAGTCCATGGTCATGAATGAAGAGGCAATGCCGCCTCAAGACCAAGACCGAACACCTCACGAGAGGGGCCATGTGCATGATTGAGATGTTCATGCCGACTCACGAGAGGGGCCATGGACACGAATGAGAAGGGCATGGTGGTGGAGCATTACATCACAGGTAACTAAGTCCCAAGAGGTCCATGGTCATGAGACAAGAAGGCTAAGGCATGAGTAAGAAGTCCATGGCTGCGTGGCAAGAGGACCATGACCCCTTTGTGAGACACCACATGTTTATCAAAATACTAGCATGGCACGAGATTTGGAGCAAGGCCAGGCGAGTCATGGCCCACTTCATGACCCACGGCGGTTCCAAGAGAAGCACCTATGCGGTTGAAGAAGAAACCACCACCCCGAAGAAGCAGGGAGCGGTTCTTTTTGGGAGTTATTCAAGAGGCGATTTTCTATGACAGTTATCTCCACATGGCTATAAATAGGAGGAAAGGTCGACAAAGAGAGAGAGGTTCCCATAACCAACACTCGGACACTAGGGATGGCAACAAAACCCGAACCCACGGGTACCCACCCAACCCAACCAGGTCAACGCGGGTAAAACCCGTGTTGACGGATTTTGAGACGGGTTCGGGTTTAAACCCGTTCACTATTCACCGGGTTGGGTTTAGGTAAACCCCCCCATGGGTACCCGTCCACACTCATATAATTAATTTTCTCAGTATATTTATTATTCTAAACAACTAATCTTATTTATGTTTGTGGAGACATGTCTAATTTTTTCCATCTAATTGTGTAGAATGAAGTTGATGTTATCGAGTGAAGAGTGAAGAAACTTAATTGACAAGGAGCAAGAAACTTTCAATTAATCATGTTATTTATGGATAATTTGTGATTTTGTAACACCCTACCCTATACGTTTTGCCTAATCATATTGTTTATACAATTGCAGCGGAATTAATCTCGGGCGTTACATTAATTATCAAAATTTACCCAAATAAAATTGCGACATGAATTACTCCCGTAATGGGCTAACAGTTCTTGCAACTTATCCTGCAAAATAATTCATCACAAACATATATAATAACAACCATATGCATTGGCTTTTCTTAGCCATAGACACACTTTTCATACTCCACAACTGCATACCATACTTATACATACCATAATCGTCACAACTTACACAGTTACACAACATATACACATATCATCAACTTTCCACACCTGTGGATATCTCACACTAGATCAGAAACTAGTATGCATATGAAAAACGTTCTCAAAACATTTTTACAAAAAGGTGTGGATCACTGGCCAAAATCCCGAGTAGTAGTCCAAGCACAGAATAGTTGAAGACCATACCTCATCTTGGCTTTAACTCTAGCTCCTCTCCCACCTAACACTTATCTACTGCTGCTGCTGATGATCTGCTTACACATAGCATAAGCAGAGAAGAAGAATAAAAGAGGGTCAGCTCATAGCTGAGTGAGATAATCATAGCATCGTGAGTTCATAACAGAGCATACCCCTACCATACATCTAGCAAACAAGCCAAAGCACTGTGATCATATCTCAGCTCTCTGACATCCCAATAGGCAAAAGACTCAACCACCTTGACTTATGCATATGCATCTTATCATGTTTTACTTATAGGCGCCTGGCTACTCCCATGCTAATAACTCTCCCGGGAAACATACCCCACATCCCGTCGGATGTAGTCATACATACCCCAACATCCCGTCGGATGTGGTCATACATACCCCACACCACTATGGGTGTAGTCATACCCCGACACCGCTCTGGGTGTGGTCATATCTCGTAAGAATTCTTCAGTCACCACCACATGAGAGGTGTGACTATCATACATATCATAATAGAGTAATAGCATAGGGAGCCCTAATTACTATGTAGTTGACCGTGAGACCACAACACTCATATTTGGTATCCTTATACATGATTCATGTCTCATCTTGCTTAATCATAATTCGTTACTTGCACATGTTCTTGACCTGGCCACAATTGGCTCAACATAACCAGGAGTCGTATAATTGCACTTCCTCGGGATAAACCCTCGTGCAAGTCATCCTCCTTAAAACATCATAATATCACCAGGGAAAATATATATTTTCCCACTTGTGCATCCAAATACAACAATCATGAAAAATCATACCCAATCACCTTTCCGAACCATCATAAGGCATATCAACAGTCAAGTCCACAATTTGCAACATATACACCATCATCAGCATAAACAAGGTTCATATCGATTAGGGGAATTCAATAATATCATACAGCAATCCAGGGTTCAACATATAGCACAAAAGTTCATACACCCCTAATCATGCCATTCTAGTTCACCTAGATCAATTCTAAGCATCAATATAATTATCGTGATACGACAAACACGGTATGCCGTGCTAATCCCTCACCAGTTCTGGTCGTTCAAACACCGGTTCTAGCCTCCGGTACTAAAACATCAATTTCACGAACGAACCCCGAATTAAAATCCGAGACCGTCCTAATATCCCCTGCAGTATCCCCGTCAATATTAGTTCTGGGCTCCGGGTCAAATTCTCGATAAAAACACATCAAACCCTGGCCGGAGCTAAATTCAGCGATCCCGGCTCCGATCTAAATAATAGCCGAAATTCAGGGATTAAAACTAGGGGATTGATTACCTCGCGGCAGGAAGCTCGTATATGAAATTTGGGCTCAATCCGGCTTTCGGATACTCCGAAACCCTAATTTGGCTTATCGGGAATTCAAGAAATTCCTGAACCAAAAACTCGTTTTAAAGCTCTAAATCGATAAATCATGATGAATAGATGAATTAGGCATTACTTACGGGATTTTTGGATCACTTATGCTCAAGAATCGAGCCTTGGAGTTTTTCCCCCGACGTTCCCCTGAAAGCTCTCTCCGCTCGCTCTGGTTTTTGATCTCTCGGTGGAAAATGGAAATAAACGATGATGATGTGAATTAAATGGACGGAGAGTATATATATATATATATATATATATATATATATATATATATATATATATAATTAATACGTATACTTATCCGATCGATCGATAATCCGATTTTCGCCGAAATAGTGTCGAAATGCTCGATTTTAAATCGCGAACTTTCTAGCGATCGAAATATGGGTTTTGCCGGAACGGGATGTTACAATTCTCCCCTCCTTAAAAGATTTCGTCCCCGAAATCTAATCTTGAGTCAATAGTACATATCCGCTCGTTCCCCCCCTAACCTACACTATCACAAATCTTGTTACTACCTTACTTTTAGGTTAGGAGATTCATAACATAGAGAGTAACACATAACACCTCAAGTTCCCATGTTTAGGTTTGAAAAACCTATACTGGGCTATCACAACAAAAGCACATCAGCAAGTTCAAAACATAACTTATTAAGCAAGATTGTTAACCTGCAACGTAGGTTGCCAGTAATACAAGGTTATATCAACCTACAAAATGGTTGTCACCAGATCATCAAGAATCATATCCATGTTAAAATCTCTACCACCACAACTCATCTTGTTGACATAATCTAAAATCAACTACATTGCATAGCTAGCCACCATACTTCTCGATCGGTTAGTAGTAACACTGAAAGTACTTCTGTGCAAGCTACAAGGAAACATTGGCCTTAGAGTGATCCACACACCATTAAAAATTTCTACCAAAGTCATTACTTGGACAACAAGATAAAAACTCCATAAAATTTTCAAAACCTTTTAAACCATAACTTTTCAAGATTCTTTCCAATGCTCAAAAACATGTTTGACCATGTGCAATTGACTATGCAACACATCATCACCTTTGGTCCCAATCTTGGAAAGTTTAGTGCAAATACAGGTATGGAGTACTCCCTCCCCTTACGAGGGTGATCAGTCCTCAAGTGGGAAAGTAACATACCCATAATGCAGAAAACAAACCAGCTCTGATACCAAACTGTAACACCCTACCCTATACGTTTTGCCTAATCATATTGTTTATACAATTGCAGCGGAATTAATCTCGGGCGTTACATTAATTATCAAAATTTACCCAAATAAAATTGCGACATGAATTACTCGCGTAATGGGCTAACAGTTCTTGCAACTTATCCTGCAAAATAATTCATCACAAACATATATAATAACAACCATATGCATTGGCTTTTCTTAGCCATAAACACACTTTTCATACTCCACAACTGCATACCATACTTATACATACCATAATCGTCACAACTTACACAGTTACACAACATATACACATATCATCAACTTTCCACACCTGTGGATATCTCACACTAGATCAGAAACTAGTATGCATATGAAAAACGTTCTCAAAACATTTTTACAAAAAGGTGTGGATCACTGGCCAAAATCCCGAGTAGTAGTCCAAGCACAGAATAGTTGAAGACCATACCTCATCTTGGCTTTAACTCTAGCTCCTCTCCCACCTAACACTTATCTACTGCTGCTGCTGATGATCTGCTTACACATAGCATAAGCAGAGAAGAAGAATAAAAGAGGGTCAGCTCATAGCTGAGTGAGATAATCATAGCATCGTGAGTTCATAACAGAGCATACCCCTACCATACATCTAGCAAACAAGCCAAAGCACTGGGATCATATCTCAGCTCTCTGACATCCCAATAGGCAAAAGACTCAACCACCTTGACTTATGCATATGCATCTTATCATGTTTTACTTATAGGCGCCTGGCTACTCCCATGCTAATAACTCTCCCGGGAAACATACCCCACATCCCGTCGGATGTAGTCATACATACCCCAACATCCCGTCGGATGTGGTCATACATACCCCACACCACTATGGGTGTAGTCATACCCCGACACCGCTCTGGGTGTGGTCATATCTCGTAAGAATTCTTCAGTCACCACCACATGAGAGGTGTGACTATCATACATATCATAATAGAGTAATAGCATAGGGAGCCCTAATTACTATGTAGTTGACCGTGAGACCACAACACTCATATTTGGTATCCTTATACATGATTCATGTCTCATCTTGCTTAATCATAATTCGTTACTTGCACATGTTCTTGACCTGGCCACAATTGGCTCAACATAACCAGGAGTCGTATAATTGCACTTCCTCGGGATAAACCCTCGTGCAAGTCATCCTCCTTAAAACATCATAATATCACCAGGGAAAATATATATTTTCCCACTTGTGCATCCAAATACAACAATCATGAAAAATCATACCCAATCACCTTTCCGAACCATCATAAGGCATATCAACAGTCAAGTCCACAATTTGCAACATATACACCATCATCAGCATAAACAAGGTTCATATCGATTAGGGGAAGTCAATAATATCATACAGCAATCCAGGGTTCAACATATAGCACAAAAGTTCATACACCCCTAATCATGCCATTCTAGTTCACCTAGATCAATTCTAAGCATCAATATAATTATCGTGATACGACAAACCCGGTATGTCGTGCTAATCCCTCACCAGTTCTGGTCGTTCAAACACCGGTTCTAGCCTCCGGTACTAAAACATCAATTTCACGAACGAACCCCGAATTAAAATCCGAGACCGTCCTAATATCCCCTGCAGTATCCCCGTCAATATTAGTTCTGGGCTCCGGGTCAAATTCTCGATAAAAACACATCAAACCCTGGCCGGAGCTAAATTCAGCGATCCCGGCTCCGATCTAAATAATAGCCGAAATTCAGGGATTAAAACTAGGGGATTGATTACCTCGCGGCAGGAAGCTCGTATATGAAATTTGGGCTCAATCCGGCTTCCGGATACTCCGAAACCCTAATTTGGCTTATCGGGAATTCAAGAAATTCCTGAACCAAAAACTCGTTTTAAAGCTCTAAATCGATAAATCATGATGAATAGATGAATTAGGCATTACTTACGGGATTTTTGGATCACTTATGCTCAAGAATCGAGCCTTGGAGTTTTTCCACCGACGTTCCCCTGAAAGCTCTCTCCGCTCGCTCTGGTTTTTGATCTCTCGGTGGAAAATGGAAATAAACGATGATGATGTGAATTAAATGGACGGAGAGTATATATATATATATATAATTAATACGTATACTTATCCGATCGATCGATAATCCGATTTTCGCCGAAATAGTGTCGAAATGCTCGATTTTAAATCGCGAACTTTCTAGCGATCGAAATATGGGTTTTGCCGGAACGGGATGTTACAGATTTGCTTCAATTATTTTGAGTTTTCTAGATTGGTGTTGAACAATTTGTATAGTTAATTTGTGATTTGCTTAAATTTTCTAAAATGGTGTTTATATATGGATAATTTGTATTGAGATATTGATATTTCACTTTAATTTTGATAGGAACTTGTTATTATAAATTTTTTACGACGAAAACCCGTGGGTACCCATAAGCCCGCGGATACCCAGCGGGTTGGGTTTGGTTTGAGTTTTTCAAACCCAGTGGGTTTTACCCCGTTTTTTTTTTTCACGGATAAACCCGTGGGTTTGGCAAAACTCGACCCAACCTGACCCATTGTCATCCCTATCTGACATACATGTCAAGTTTATCCTTTTTCTTTTCTCTATCATGTAGTCGTAGATGTAGTTTTTAGTTTGGAGCTCTCACCGAACCTGCATAGGAGTAGAAGTAACTTAATTTAAATTTTCTTCCCAGAAACCATCAATCAACCACCATCGTTCGAACTTTGTTTGAAAAGGTGTGAGCCGTGTCTTAGTAATCGTTGTCCAAAAAAGTTAAAGGTGCAATTCAATTTAAAGCAAGTTTTCTCGTCGGAAAACACATATAATATGTATGGGGTAGTTTGGAGAACAGGATTCAGGACGTAGATTCACTGAATCCATAGATTTTGTAGAAAGTTATGTTTTTTTTGTTGCTTTTTGTACTGTGGATTCTAGCTTTAGACATTTCAAATCTCTCATAATCAGAGAGATTCTATATCTTGATTCGTGAGATTTTTTTCTACTAGTTTTTCTCTTACTTTTATTTATTTATCACATGAAATATATTTATCAACATATTTTTTAATATTTATTAAACCACTCTAATTTTTTTTATTAAGGATAAACAATTTATTTAATATAAAATTTGTATTTTTATTTAAATTGAATGTTAAGAATCACATTTACCAAACAATAAACATTTAAAAATCTGTTTTCAACAATCTAAAGAGTTAGAATCGTTAGATTGTTGACAATCTGTAGATTTAAATTCAGATTTTCCAAACCACCCTATATACAGTTTCAAGTTGGATGAATGCACGAGCACGAGGGAAGCTCGGGAGCCGTTTAGCCGGAGACCAAGAAGCTTAGGAAAGTTGCTGGGGCGGACGACAAGGGCTCAAGATAGGGTGCATAACCATGGGTTATGCACCCATGAATAACCAAATCTGGACCCTTTATTTAGGAAATTCAGACTTAAGAAAGGAGAATTAAAGACCATTTTTATTTTTTCTAGCTTTCTTAATTGACTCATATCTTTTTGTTTTAACTCGGATTTTAATTTTTTTTGCACAGATGGAACGAGTTCATCGTGCTCTACAAAATGAGATCATTTTTTAATATTTTTGGAGGAAAAAAATTCTGGCCTCTCGGTACCAACTGCATACCATATGGTATCTTCTTCGTTTTTAATTCGTTTTTGAAAAAGTTTGCACAGAAGGGACGAGTTCATCATGATCTATTGGATCTACAAATTTTTGGGTGAACAAATTACAGGACCAAAAAATACCACACAATACCATACAATACCACCCTGGTACGGGGTGGTATTGTATGGTATCTTCTTCGTTTTTAATTCGTTTTTGAAAACGTTTGCACAGAAGGGACGAGTTCATCATGATCTATTGGATCTACAAATTTCTGGGTGAACAAATTACAGGACCAAAAAATACCACACAATACCATGCAATACCACCCTGGTACGGGGTGGTATTGTGTGGTATACAATGTTAAAAGTCGTAAATGACAATTAATATACTTCTACTATCATGTATTCAACAATCCTACAGTCTTGGTTTGTTCATACCACCATGGTACGTTTTTCAAACCATAGGTATGCTTTTATTTCAATACTAGTCAATACCATATGGTATAGACTGGTAAAAAAATGGCTCAATTTTTTTTGTTCGAAAAATATATTAAAGTGGATATCATTTTGAAGAGCCCAATTAATCTGATCTAACTGTACAAAAAAAAATTAAATTTGACTTAAAATGAGTGAGAAATCGTCCGTCAAAAATTAAAGAGGGGAAAATTAAAGGCTTTCCAGCAGAGAGAGGATGCTGATGTAATGCTAATGTGGACGGGTTACTCATGGTTACTCACCATAAGATTACTGACCTGATCCATTCCGGAGTACAAGTAGGCAGGGTTGTAAATTTTAAGCAATATCAAACTTGGAATGCCTAATTTGACTCTTTCTTTTTTGCCTGAACGCTGTAGTGTTGGTAGCTTCTGTTGTCGAAAAACCGGACGCTCTGATTTCCGTTCTCCAATAGGATTATGATTATTTCCATTCTACAATAGGAATACGAATGGCAGTAGGATTCGGATTTATCATCTCAGCAGTATATATAAACACACACACACCAAAAGGCTCTCCATTACAGAGCTTCTTTCCCTTGGCCGAGTATTTTAAGTTTTGAGTCAGCAATCTGACTGTTACATTATGACAAACTCGCCGCCATCTAGCCCTCTTGGAGACCAACCTCCGGCCGAGGAATCTAATCACGACGATGAAGAATCCGATAACAACCACGTTGAGAAAGAATCCGATCGCCACTCTGCCGCCGACGAAGAAAAAGCAGAAGACAATCAACCACCACACTCGCCGCCGCCGCGTCCTACCCCTTTCGAAGCAGTTTACAGCTGCCGCTCCTCTTCTAATTCCCTGGAGAACGGCAATCAGATTCGAATGCCGCAGTCGGCTCTGGCGCGCCTCATGATGGACGACCAAGCGCTGACGCCGGGCCAGCCGATGCTGTTCCAGATCAGCAATCCCGAGTCGGGCCGAGTCTCGCACTGTGGAGTCAGCGAGTTCACCGCCGAGGAAGGCAACGCCCACGTCCTGAGCTGGATGATGGAGAATCTGCAGCTCAAGGAGCGCGATGAGGTTCGGATCAAGAGCGTCCGCCTCGAAAGGGGAAGCTACGTGAAGCTGCAGCCGCACTCGGTGGAATTCTTCGCGTCGATTCGGAACCTGAAAGACGCGCTGGAGGCCAGCTTCAACCACAGCTTCTTTTGCGTGACTACAGGGGACACCATCCTGATCAGCCACTGGGGGAAGGAGTTCTACCTCAATGTGGTGGAGACGAGGCCCGGCCCGGCGGTCAGCCTGGTGGATACGGATTGCGAGGTGGAGTTCGACACCCCGCTGGATTACAAGGAGCCCGAGCCCGAGCCCAAGAAGGGGGTGAAGAAGAAGAAGAAGAGAGATGCTGCCGGCGAGGTGAAGGAAGAGTTGTTGGATGAATCGAAGGAGATCAAGTTTGTTGCTTTTACTGGGAATTCGAGGCGGCTGTCGGGTGAAACAGGGGAAGCTCCGATGGATGAGGCGGTTGAGCCGGAGACCAAGAAACTAAAGAAGCTTGCTGCGGCGGAGGACAATAAGGCAGGGCTGGAACAGGGGAAGTTTGTTGCGTTTAGTGGGTCTGCGAGGCGGCTGAGCGGTGTCGGAGGAGGTGTTCATCAGAAAGAAGATTCGGGTGTCAAGGTAACCGATGGAGGTAAGATGGAGAAGAAAGAGGGGAAAGCAGAAAGCAGTGGTGCGAAGAATGAACCCTGTAAGCCATTTACAGGAAGGAAGTACACGTTGATGGATTGAGTAGTGTCTCGGGTTCTTTTTTCAATTTTTAGGGATCAATTTGTGTGCTTAATGCGTTTTGAGGATTCAAATTTGTAGACGGTAAAGAAATTTTAAATCTTATATTTAGGTGTGAGATATGACAGATGATTCCAAACTATGATGGTCCTTTACTTTTATATTGTCATTTAAAAATAATAATGTTTTTAAGTTGAGAGTAACACAAATAATAAAATTTCTCCAATCCATAACAAATTCGGGATTTTAAAACCCGAAATTTTAACTAAAATCCTCAATTTCAATGTTCAACAAGCAAATGAGTCCTAGATATACCGAGTTTGCCACCAAATTTATCCTATTTACCCTTAAAAGAATTGGAAATGGAAAAAAAAGAAAGAATTCATAAGGACAAACTTGAAATGAACAAAACAAACATGAACGCATAAGTCAATTAGCATGTGGGCTTAACCAAATTGAACATTTAAATTTGGAGTTTTCAATCTGCTAAGGCTCGTTGATTTGGTACCTTATCTATTTGCACACAAACATCGGACTTGGGAAAATCTCTAAACCCCTTATCCAAACAACTCTTTAGTTTTAAGTTCCACATTAGGTTTTGCATTTGTGAGTGTTAAATGTATTTCAACGAACCAAAATCATCGATCATTGTATTTCAAGAAACCAAAATATGTGGTGGAAATAATCCCACGACAATCGCGTATCTAGAATCGAAGAAAAGAGTGGACATCCAAATCATCCTAAGACACACAATTGATGAGAAAAACTAGTTGTTGAAACTGTTTTAGGCAAACGTAAGATGCATTGCTGATATTTCGTGTTTGGGGAGTTGCTTTTGACATGGCCTACAAAAAATAACAGGCCTCTTGTCATATTTATAGGTGACTAGTTTATTCTTACCATATTTGACTATATAATGTTAAACAACTATTTCCTAGCATAATATTGCTTGTTGTTAAGTCGCGATTTTGGGCTAGTTGACAACATAGTGTAGATTTTTTATTTTGACAAGGAAATCTAGATGTTCCTTGTCACTGATTCATGTTCCTTGTTATAGCTTATGTGTGTTAACCTTTTCTTCTGCAGTGGTTTGGTTTGTCGAGGAATGTTTCATCTGATGAAATTTTCCTTTGCATAAGGTGCGGTTAGGATTTTTTAGAGGCTCCTAATTGAAGCTCGTACTTATAGATGTGAAGTAAAACATGGAAGATCTATTGGGCTATGTATACTTGATAAATTGGCTAGCCTAGGAGTTAGCTGAATTGGTTAGATACTAGTTGATTGCAGTACATGTAATAATCCTAGGAATGTCTAGAGTCGTATTTCAAAACCAACACCTTATATTTGAATGACAATGTAGAAAAGTAAACACGATGGGTTGTTCCCTAATAGATGTCCGACACTATGTTATCTAATGAAAACGACGGAATTATAAAGTAATGGAAAAGTAATAGAATAAAAATTGTTGAGATAGTTTCATCTAGACGATCATGCTTACAATCTCATTAATTATAAGCGATAACTCAATATTTGCAAATGTTTTTTCCCACCGTTCTTACACTGTTTGAGGCTCGACTCTCGTGTTTTAAGCCAATTTCACGCTAGGTTGTTCTTGTATGATGTATTTCAGGTATGGGATCGGTTGTGCATGCTTGGAGGCTAGTTTCGGGTCAAAAGCACCAAGTGGACGATAGTTGGAGCTCGAAGACTAAAATTCCCAGTCAGCCCATCAAATACCCAACCGGGGAACTGCTATAGAAGGTCGGGAACTCGTTCAGGGATTTTCCCTGGTCTTGACCCCCTTGTTCCCCGATCGGGGAATTCCACCCGAGATCGATGATTTTTGCTTCAGAGACTTGTCGTTGCGCGCCGTTTTGGGAGACACCCAGTCTGTCATCAAAATACCCGACCAGGTAATCAGGCCGGGGGTTCGATAGTCGAGTTGTTATAAGCCAAATAGGGGAAAAAGAAAAGGGGAGCTGGGTTTTAGATTCCAAAAACCCAAGAGACGAACCAAAGAGAGAGAGAGAGAGGCCGATTTGAGGGCGATCTTGGAGCGGAATTGGAGGATTACTTCACCTTGGAAGCTCGAGGAACAAGCCTAAACATGAAGATTGAAGATCTAGAAAGTTATTGTATTATCTCTCTTCTCTATGGAGTAACTTTACTTCTCTTAGGTTTTGAGGAACACTAGCTATGTTTGTTTGATTGGATGATTGTCTGAGTACTCTTATTTGATAATCTTAAGTTCCTATTCAATCTAGGCATGTTTCCATGATTCAATTCTGCATTAGTCAAGATTATTGATTCTGGTTTGATCCTACGAGAGCAAATACTTGATTAGGTCAATAGAGCACCATAGATTGATAGTACTGGATCGATTGCTTTAGACGAGGATTGATTCATTGCTTTGTATTGATTGAGAACCTCAATCGATAGAGGGAATCTAGTTCAGAATGCCTTGATCAGTTGTTCTAGAGAATGATACGTCTCTATAGGCAATCGACTCAAGAGGGCCTTGACTTCGTAAGTCGAGATTCAAGGTCTAGTCAAGGATTCTCCGCATTGTGAATGAAAGTGAAACAAGTTAGAGATCATCAATCATTAATCTGGCTAACGGTTATGAGGAATCATATCTAAGTGAGTTCTCAACCTGTAGTTAGTAGTCTAACCTAGTTTAGCTTGTAGAGTAGTTAGTTAATAAAACCTCAATTTGATTTGCTAGATAATGAACTGAAGCTGAGTAATATTACATCTTGAGACCCCAAGGATTCGATTTTCATTACTTGCACCACTACACTGCAGTCCCTTTCATTTGTTACACTTGGCCATTGTTAGGAGTTGTGTTTTAGTGAGTGAATAAGCATAGATTCATCTTATAATATGTAACCATATTTCTTCCACTAAGGTCATCATATTCCTTTTCACCACATGCAATAGGAATTACCAAATTAGGATGAGCTAATGTGTAATTTCGCTTCATGCCACTAGACTAATCAATCAAACAAAGAAGTATTGAATTCTTTTTAATTATTTAGGGTATTTATGAATCATCGATCGGTGCTTCGATCGATCTTTAAATTTATTAAGTCGAAGCGCACTCACTAGTCAATCCTAACACGGCCAAGTATAACTAAGATAGGGATGTAGTAAAGCGGCTAGGTCGTATTCCAAGGTTCATGGTATCCTAGGCTACTAAGGCTCGATCGTTATCGGTACCAGGGATAACTTCCTCACCCTAGCCTAGGTTTATCATGCAAATGTCTAAATAAGTTGGGTTAAGCGAATGTGGTGAGTGAGCTCTATTCTGTTGTCCTTCGTGATTATCCACACGCCTCCGAGTACGCCTACCCTAAACCCATGCCAGTCACCTCGATCTAGGCTATCGTATAAGGGGCTTTAAGAACATAGCTCCTTTGAATGGGTACTACCCACCGTCCACATCAAACTTTCATCACGGGTTCCATCTTGGAAGGCATTCTTATGGCAGGGGTACATTCGCCTCGTCCACCACAAGATCTTACTCATTCATTTAACCCTAATATGCCAGATGGCGTATACCCGTCTAACACTAAAACTCCATACCTAACGTAGAAGCTCAAGTAGGCTACTAGAGAAGATTAGAGCGACTTACCCAAGCACAATTAAATCAAGAGAAGCATTAAAATCAACTAAATAAACACATTCATTGAAAACCCTAACATATTCATTTATTACATTATAGCCCCAAAACTCGAGTTTGGGGATTTAAACTCCTAGTACCTTGGGAGATCACCCAATGAGGGGTGCGCGGGGGGGGGGGGGGGGGGGGGGGGGGGGGGGGGGGGGGGGGGGGGGGAGGGGGGGGTTTAAGAAAAGACATACAAAGAGGGGAAGAAATCATGAAGAAAGGGGTCTGCAAGTGATGGAAGTCCTCCTCCACGGGCAAGGAGGTGAAAATCGTGCCCATGAACTTGAGGCTGCGATCTTAAGGGCAAGTTCGCAGAAAAGGTGTAGAAGATCACGGTCGGGATCGTTAGGGTAGAGGCTGTGATCTTAGAGGGTCGCCATTTTTGTCTTGCTAAATGTGGAGTTCGCTTCTTAACATCCCGGTCGCAATCCGGGGTGTCCCACGATCCTTATCGTGGGCACGGAAGCCGTGGACCGTAAAACGATGGCCGAAACTTTCTGCTTCTCCCGAGCTGGCCTCTTCCAAAGTTCACACCCTTGGTTAGAGTCTTCTCTCAAGCAAAGAACTAGCATCGAACAAGGTCACTAAAACTCAACTAGTATCTATTCCAAAACCCGATTTTGTGAATGAATGAATATATATCTCACACGTTGGGCTTACCCCACACTTTATTTCAAAATATAACATGGAAAATCAAATGATACATTCATACCAAGATATGTAGTTTTTGCATTTGATAGAAGATACAATTCACCTCATGGAAAAAACTTTCTAAAAGTGGAGACTCAATGCATAATCAGAAATTTATAATGAATCAAAGACCATTGATTGAAAACATATTAACAAAATCATAGCATCTCACTTAATATTACATCTTCACATTCACTACACTAGCCTCCCTAGATCAAGTGAAATCCCCAGGTTCATTGATTCTAGGAGAGGAAGAATGGGTTATCCATAATCAAAATATATAAACTAATCTACCACAGACACATAATTTATTAAACATACTACATATTTTAAAAGAAAGAGATAGAAATTGTCCCTAAATGCCAAGATGTCTTTGATGTACGGTTGGAGCATATGATTGTTGCCAATCGGAGGATCTTTCTTGCGAATATGGTCCATCATAATTCGTAGTCGCCTCCATTGGTTGCTTTGTTTTGCTTGTTGTGGTTGCTCTTTCACTTGCGGTTATGGCTCTTCTCTTGGAATTTGTGGTTCTTCGCATCATGGGTGATTCCAGTTTCTTCGTTGTTGAGGTCTAAGGGTACTATCACTCTCACTCTCGGTTTAAGAAAAGACATACAAAGAGGGGAAGAAATCATGAAGAAAGGGGTCTGCAAGTGATGGAAGTCCTCCTCCACGGGCAAGGAGGTGAAAATCGTGCCCATGAACTTGAGGCTGCGATCTTAAGGGCAAGTTCGCAGAAAAGGT